TTTGTGTTTGACTAACTAATTTAAAAAATACTTTTGAACATCAATTAGTGTTTGACAAATCTTTTAAAAAGTATTTCTAAGTGTATTTTCCTCGAAAGTGCTTTTTAAAAAGTGCTTTTGAAAGAAGCTATTACTTTTTCCGCTTCTCTAAAACTGTTTCTTCTTTTATTCAAAACTTTTTTTTTTTTTTCTTCCAAAAGTTTGGCCAAATATTAAAACATAAAAAAAAAAAAAAAAAAAAAAAAAAAAAAAAAAATGTTTTGGCCTTGAAAGAAATCTGGCTATTAGTCAACTCTAGTTTCTCCACTTAACAACACATTGATATAAAACAGAAGAAAAGACATAATTTGATGAAGAATTATTGAGGCCTCTCTGAAACAAAAGCCATGTCCATACCAGGAGCATATCAAACAGACTTACCTGCAGTACCGCCATGGCTAAACAAAGGCGACAACGCATGGCAAATGACCGCCGCGACCCTCGTCGGCCTTCAAAGTATGCCCGGACTCGTCATCCTCTACGCTAGCATAGTAAAGAAAAAATGGGCAGTTAACTCTGCTTTCATGGCTCTTTACGCTTTTGCAGCAGTTCTCATCTGTTGGGTTTTAGTTGGCTATCGTATCGCCTTTGGCGATAAGCTTTTACCCTTTTGGGCAAAAGGGGCTCCAGCTTTAGGCCAAAAGTACTTAATCGGACGTGCAAGAGTACCTGAGACAACACACTATTATAGCAATGGGAATATTGAATCTCCTATGCTTGAACCTTTTTATCCTATGGCTGCACATGTTTATTTTCATTTCACTTTTGCTGCAATTACGATGATTTTATTAGCTGGTTCTGTTCTTGGTCGTATGAATATTAAAGCTTGGATGGCTTTTGTTCCTCTTTGGCTTATTTTTTGTTATACGGTTGGAGCTTTTAGCCTTTGGGGTGGTGGTTTTCTTTATCACTGGGGTGTTATTGATTATTCTGGTGGCTATGTTATTCATCTCTCTGCTGGAATTTCTGGATTCACTGCTGCTTATTGGGTAATACAGCCTTCTAATACCATATTTTTTTTCTCTTTTCTCTCCTTGATTCCTTCTATATAACTCTGTTTTACTATGTTATGACACATGATTGGCCGAGTATCCAAAATTTAAAAGTCAAAATTTTTCCTAGTTAGAGTGATCAGTTTATTAGGAGTGGGTATGATTTAGAGGTTGATTCACAATTTAAATTTGATGAATTTGACTTTAGGTTTTACTACTAATTAAACTCATTACATTTTGATAATAATATGTTCAGAATTTGTTATTTTTTGGAATTTTAGTGACTTTTTACATATATATATATATATATATATATATATATATATATATATCCGAAAATGCTTCAGTTCAGCCTGTTGATCTCATGCTCCATCCAATTTTAAAAAAAATTGTATATAAGTATACATGGTTCGAACTGAAAGTAATTGATTATGTTCAACTCGAAATCGACTCCTCCTCTTATTCTTGTTTCCTATATATGTTTCTCCAACATTTATATATGTGGAAGAATAGAGTCTTATAGACTTTTGAAGTTCCAAAATTTACCAATTAGTGTTATTGTTCTTTCTTGCCATTACTCACTCTTTAATCGCATTTCCAACCGAATGCCTATCGGAAACAGTATCTCTTCCCTTTCAAGGTAAAGGTAAGATTGCGCATATCTTACCCTTCCCAGACCCCACTGTGCGAAATCACTGGATTTGTTGTTGTTGTTGTTGATGTTTGTTTGTTATTGTTCTTTCTTAATCTTCTATTAGTTATCTTACTCAATTGGTTGGATATATTGATCTCAGGTTGGGCCAAGATTGAAGAGTGATAGGGAAAGGTTTCCACCAAACAATGTGTTGCTTATGCTTGCAGGAGCAGGGCTACTTTGGATGGGTTGGTCAGGTTTCAATGGAGGAGCACCTAATGCTGCAAATGTAACTGCTCCTTTGGCTGTTTTAAACACAAATATTTCAGCAGCTACTAGTCTTCTTGTTTGGACAACCCTTGATGTTTTTTACTTCGGCAAACCATCGGTCATTGGAGCTGTTCAAGGAATGATGACTGGCCTTGCCTGTGTAACTCCTGGAGCAGGTAATTTCAATTCTTTATGATGCTAAAAAAAAAAAGACGAGTTCAAGTTCTATATACTAACTGGCCGTATTTAGCTCGTAAACACTAGTCAGGAGACTCACGAATTTCTCCTGGCGGAAGCGGATCGTCTGTAGCAACCACGACACGAATTAGTGGTCGCTGGGAATCATCACAAGACAAATGAAATCCCTTGTTTCCACAACCTACCAATCTCTTCGATGAATACAAAGAATATATAATCTTAGCCGTCTTTAGTCTAGTGAAAAACGTCCATTTTCAACACCCATAGTGATGCTTATATATGCTCGTACTAGGATTTTAGAAGGTGCAGTAGCTAATGGGTTAACAAACTAATTAGCACCTCTTATGGGTGGACCCGACCTAATAACAATTTTCCAACACTAACAATATAAATGATATTTACACCCCATAATGTCAGGTAATTAAAGCTACATCTCTATGATTAGATTAATTGATATCCTGATAAAAACATAACTAAGCTATTATAATATGTTCTTATTATTGCTTGTTGATGTAGGAGTGGTACAAGCTTGGGCAGCCATAGTAATGGGAATGCTTTCAGGTAGCATTCCATGGTTTTCCATGATGATCCTCCACAAAAAGTCTGCTTTTCTACAGAAGGTACTATATATTGTACTTTAGTATTCCATTCTAAAGACTTATCCTAGAAAAAAATATAATAAAGAATTTAATATTTCATTCTAATGACTTGTCCTAGAAAAAAATAAAATAAAGACTTGACTTAGAGTTGGTAATTGTATTCATATATGGTTGTTGAAATTGAATAGTCTTATGTCAAAATAAGTTGCTATATCCAACTTTCCCCTGTCCCTACGACTCTTACCATGTCATACTCGAATGAAGGAGAAAAGTAGGTCAGCACTAATTAAGTACTTCACGTGTGAACAAGGCGGAGTCAGCATTAGCTACAAGTTCAGCTTGAACCAATAGCTTTAGCTCATATACTTTATTTGTGTTAAAGAAGTTTATTGAATATGGATAAATAGTCTATTTAGAACCTAATAAGTATTATGGTCTAAAATCCAAAAACTAAAAATCCTAACTCAGCCTCTATGGACAACTTTTTATTTTATTTTATTAGGTACACAAGCAAAATCTATAGTATAACAACACCCATCATACTCCACTCCGTTTACTTGCTGGTCCAATACTTTAAGTCTATTGTGACCATTGGAAGATATTTGTTCACACCGGATATTTAGGTCAAATCATATTAATTTATCATGTTTAAATGATAAATCAAGTAAAAAAACATGTTAATTAGTCATAGTTTAATGATAAAAGTTTATGCGCAGACACATGTGAAATAGGATTTAGCTTTTACACAGTACAATATAAAGAAATTTTACCCAATTAGTGTATCTTAAACGGTTGTTGACCGTCTTATTTTACTAGTTGCTAATCCCACTTGTTATAGACGATTACCAAATAGTTATTTTTTAAATCATAACATGATAGTATACAAATTCTTTTACGCAGCAAGTGTAGCAGATTGTGTATCTGTGTTGATAATTTCGTTGTTGTATAACAACAGGTGGATGATACACTGGCTGTGTTTCACACACACGCTGTAGCAGGACTTTTAGGCGGTTTATTAACTGGTCTTCTAGCAGAACCAACTCTTTGTAGTATTATTCTTCCAGTGAGCAACACAAGGGGTGCATTTTATGGTGGAAATGGTGGAATGCTTTTCCTTAAGCAAATAGTTGCAGCTCTCTTTATCATTGGTTGGAACATAGTTGCAACGACAATAATTCTGCTCGCGATAAGGTTGTTCATCCCGTTAAGAATGTCAGATGAGCAGCTAATGATTGGGGACGACGCGGTACATGGAGAAGAAGCCTATGCCCTTTGGGGCGATGGCGAGAAATATGATCCCACAAGACATGGTTGGCATGGCTCAGATTCTCCACAAGAAACAATACCAACTGGTTTTGTCAATGGAGCGCGAGGAGTAACAATTAATTTATAATTAACATGTTACATCGATTGACAAGGACTTCAAGACTTTAGTTCATACATTTCTCCATTGGCATTTCATTTGGCGCCCTGAGACACATACGTCTAATGGTTTACGCATTACAGGATTAGATTTGTATATTTTATATTTTATAAGGTGCATATGGAAATTAGTGGAATTTTAGAGAAGGCATCTGGTTGTGAGTAAAAGTGAGTGCAAGATATCCTGTAAATATCCTTGAAATCCCCTCAGTTTGTACACTATTCCTTTTTATAGGATATTTCATGATTTGCGGTTCTGTAATATTCCCATTCCCTTAGGCCTTAGCTATTATTATCATTCCTTTTTTTTCCTCCTAAATTCTCAATCATCACATTTAGAAGGGGCCGAAGTTCTGAGACTTTGATCTGAGTAGCTTTGGTACTTCATTTCTTCAATAACAAAACTTTAAGAAAGTGTTATTGGTTAACCTTTCTATTTAACCAGCTAGCTAGCAAAATCAGAATAAAGTAAAAGAGCTAATTTGTTTTACAGAAGCCAAGTAGCTGAAAAATGATAAACACGTCGTCATCACAATCCTCTGAAAATTATTCCTTAAATTCTAAATTCAAACACCCATTCCTCAGTAGGCACTATGTCTACGTGGAGGAAATTCAAGAAAACAACCCCTTCCCCATACAGAAAACAAAGCAAAAACAATATGAACAAAGTATTATAAACTCCTTCAAACAGAATGTAAAAGATCAAACTTCAAAGCTTTTATAGTTATACTTATCTTGACCTCCTTTGGTTTGTAATCCTGCCACTCTTGTTGTGCTGACCAAAAATTCTGAAGAGAAGCCCGTCAACGAGCTCATTGTATCTTTGGCTATACAAAAGAAGCCAGGTTACGATGCGAGCTCATTGTATCTTTGGCTATACAAAAGAAGCCAGGTTACGATGCCAAAACACGCAAATGATCCCAAGGCAAAACTTATGTACTTCTCATCAATTTCATGTTCAGAATGGCTGCTAGGTCGTGACAATCCATTCACTTTGGTGTCACTACATGTTTTCTTTAAAGGAAAATCACACAACCCCGTGTTCCCTTCAAAGGAATCTGCTGAGAACGTCTGAAGTTGGTTGCCTCTTGGAATCCTACCAGAAAGTTGATTAAAAGATAGGTTCAAGAAAGAAAGGAATGTGAGACCTACAAGCTCATCTGGAATTCTCCCACTTAACTGGTTAACTGAAAGATCTAAGGATCCAAGTTGAGCCAACTTTCCAAGGGCCTTTGGTATTCTTCCCATCAAAGCATTGTATGATAAGTTAAGAAGGTAAAGCGATTTGAGATCACCCAATACATCTGGTATTTCTCCTTGAAGGTTATTGTTAGAGAAATCAATGGATGTAAAAACTTCAAGAATATTCACAATTTCCATCTCCCAACCTTTGAGAGTTAAAGTAACTCTGGCTTGATAATATATGCTCAAATGTTCAACATTCAAGTACTCGTGCTCGGGCTTTGGATTGCTACTCTGCATCATGCCTTCCCAGTTCGAGAAGTATTGTGGTATCAGAGCTCCCCTGAAATTATTGGAAGAAATATCTACAATTTGAAGCCTTGACCAGGTTTGATTCGCTATAGGACACTGGAGATTCCCATTGAATTTATTCGACCTTAAAACTAAGACATGCAAACTGGGTAATTTCGACAACATGCATGGGAATGTATCTCGAATCTTGTTCTTTCCAACGTCCAAAACCTTCAAAAATGCACATCTTTCCAAGGATCTCGGAACTTTTCCTTCTAAATTATTGCTGCTGAGGTCTAAAATTTGCAAACTGCAACTCAATGGAAATGTATCAGGAATACTTCCACTTAGATTGTTTCTACCTAGATTCAGTACCTTGAAATAGTCAACTTTTTGGAATAGACATGGAGGTATTTTGTTGTTTAAGGCGTTGTTTGACATATCGAGGATTAAAAGCTGATCAAGATTGCATATGGTAAAGGGTATTGATCCGGTAAATCTATTATTGGCAAGTGAAAAGTAGACAAGAGAAGTAGAGAGGACGGGGGGATCTCCTTTGATTCTGTTGGAATGCAAGTCAATGATCTTAAGAGTGGTAGATATGGGGTAAGGTTTTTCAAGAGAATCCAAGAGATTGTAAGAAAGATTCAAATGAAACAGATCTTCATTTCCTACTCTCCAAATCCACCTTGGTATTTCCCCTTGAATGTTGTTGACTGAAAGGTCTAATTCTGACATCCTCGACTGGTTTTTAAGATCCGGAAACTTCTGCAACTTGCAAAAGGCCAATCTAAGTACTCTCAATTGGGGAAAGGGAAAGGATGTCGAATTACTGTCTTGTACATCAATTCTCAAGTTGTTGTAAGAAAGATCAAGCACGGTTAATCTAGGAAGCCCCTTGATCATTTCGATACTAATGCTCCCGCCAAACGAGTTGGACAAAAGTATTAGTTCTGAAAGCCTTTTGAGTTTGAAGATAGACCGAGGGATCGATCCATTTAGATGGTTATTGCTCAAATCAAGTGTTTCCAGAATAGAAGAGGATGCATTCACAAATTCATGGAGTTCTCCACTGAAGTGATTATTCTGAAGTTGAAGTACCTGCAATGAAGGGAGGGAAAGGAGAAATGATGGTACTGTCCCACTGATGGAATTCTTTTCTAACTTTAGATAACCAAGGTCTAAAAGGCCTTCAAAATGAGCAAAAGAAAGTGGACCTGTTAGATTGTTATGAGAAAGGTCAATGTAATATAGCTTCTTTGCCTTATGAAACAGTGGGATTAAACCAGTAAAACTGTTGAATGACAAGTCTAAATAAGATAGGTTTGTGAGATTTTCCACTGTTAATGGAATATGTCCACTAAAATTGCATGCACGTATGTCAATCCTGGTCAAGGTTGTGAGGTTAAAAATTGAATCTGGAAGTGAACCGGTGAAACTCGTGTAGCTAAGGTCTACATCCCTTAATAAACCATCCCTCGGAAATTCAGGTAAAATGCCAGTGAGGTTTTCATTATCATATAAATCAAGCTCCTGTAAAGTTGGTATTTGAAAGATTTTACTTGGAAATACACCTCGCAAGTTGCACTTACTAAGACTGAGAGTTGTCAATTTTGTAAAATTTGCTAGAAATTCTGGAACGACAGTGGATAACATGTTATAATCGAGATGAATGATTTCAAGGAAACGAAGATTTACAAGGGCGGGATCAAGAGGTCCTGAAATGTCACAACCTATCATGCTTAACACTGTTAACTGAGGGAGAGATGAAGATAAAGCCGAGCACCAATCACTCCCCTTCAATGAAATGTTCACGCCGTTAAGATAAAGTTCTCTAAGATTTGATAGGTTTCCGACCAATGTTTTCAGATCTGGGCTGTCAAGCTTTAACTTGATGCTAGAAAGGTCAAGGAACACTAACTTTGTCAATCTTGACAATTCCATTGGAATCTGCCCAACAAAACCAGCATATGACAAATTCAGGTACGTCAAGTTTGTGAGCTTATAAATTTCTGTTGGTATTTGAATAGAGTACAAGTAATTATAAGCCAAATTCAGCTTTTCAAGATACTTAAGATCAAATAGACTGGCTGAGTTCTCAAATCCAGAAGAAATTGTTTCGTCATCCACTTCCAGAACAAGCACATGACCTTCCTGATCACAACTTACACCTGGCCACTGGCAACAGTCCGCGTTTTGATCCCACCTGACTAGTTTGGTTGACAAAGAAGAATCGAAGGTAAGGCTATTCTTGAGTTTAAGCAACAAGGATTTTTGATCCCCCGAACATTGGCCATATACTCCAGAAATATTAATACTGATCAGAAATACCACTAGTGTGGTGATGAAAAAACGTTGTAGCAAGAGTGCTATTTTCATAGTGAGGCAATAATATGAAGTGTAGTAATGAAATTTAATGATAGGCTGCCTTTATATAAATAGAATCAGGGGGTGACAGATAATCTTGCCCGGCACTCGCAAAGAAATATGAAGCAAAAGACAAGGAATAAGCAACCAAAAGCAAGGAGTTGCTGATTTTTTCAAAAATTCAAGACAGCATCACCATTTTTTCTTATTTCAGACATTTTTAAGTCTGAACAAAGTTGATGTTTCTGTTTTTTCTCTTCTTTAGTCCTTAGTCTCTAACAAGACAAATTCCAATTTGGTTTACTCTCTGTAGTTTTCTGTTGACTTGATTTGTGCATGTGCAAGTCAACCTAAAGGAGTATCATGCATGAAACTTAATTATTCTTAATTAGGTAGAGGAAATAATGGTTTTCTTGAATCGAAATGACAGTAATAATGTACATATTACATGCAAATCACATAAATACCATGTATTGCTCCCAAACTATTTTAATTCTATCACTTAAATTACCCTCCTTTCACCCATAAGCAAATACTACTCCCTCCGATTCAGAATATTAGTCCTCTTAAAAAATTGAATTAGTTATAGAAGGACAGCAAAATGTTGATTCTGTCACAAAGTAGGAGTAACACCTTAAAACTAGCAGAACAACAATGACGGGAAATGGACCAATACCAACTGATTTCCAGACATTTTAGAAGTTGCCTCTCAAAGCCAATCATTCAGCTACTCGTTTGATGGATTTTAGCCTGTTTGAATTTTCTGATAGTCGAAGTCATAACATTATATTTCATTGCTACTTCACCTAGAGCAGGGTAGAGCAAATAGAATGGAACACTCATACTTTGAGTTAGAATACTCAGATTAGCTGCCATATTTCCAGGGAAATTAAATCTGAATATTGCTAACCCTGGAAACACCTAACACTCCAATTTCAACTAGGATACACCTATGGACCAAATATCATGAAGGATTAAACTTATACGCACTGGCAGTGTAAAATTTACTATCAGTGTATTTTAACAGGTTATAGCATGTCGCCTGCCTTAGTTTTGCTGTCAGTAAGACAATTCAGCTATGAACTGGAAGCCTATCTTATGCACTGATCAGTGCGAGGGGTGAGAAACAATTTAAAGGTGAGGATGAGAACAAAATGATTGGATTAATTCCATTACCTGAATATAAGCAGGTTCACATCTACAAAACAATTGTGAACGATGTGGAGAAAAAACACACACAAAAGATTGAATTATCAAAACCGCTATTAGAACTGCTTTTAGAATCATACATTTGCCAGAGATGAGGTGAAGAATACAAAAATAAGTCATTTGAGCATATTTAGTCTTAACTTAGTTCTAACCAACACTTCTATAAGGTTTAAACCTGTATGTTTACTCAGTCATCAGTACGCAGTCAAAAGGGTAATACTTAATCTGTTGGTAGTTGAATGAATTTGACTAAAAAATAATCTCTATTGCACCTAAAAATTGTGTATTCTGTGCCAGTTTTTTTATTTAATAGTGCAATTGGTTCCTAGAATTTCAACTCCTTATGCACTATTCACAATAACCTGCCGATTGGCATGGCGTAGTTAGTTAAACTGAACTGATATTTGGAACAACGATCATCTACTTTTCATAAACAATAAAATATTTGAGGTTATATAAATTAACAAAACTAAGATTTTGATCTAGCTTGCTACTTAATTTCTTCAGTAACAGAACTTTCAGCAGGTGTTATTTCTTAACCTTTCTTTCTAAACAGCTAGCTAACAAAATCAGAATAAAGTAAAAGAACTTGTTTATTTAGTAGGAATCCTAATAACTGAAAAATGATAATCACATTGTCATCCCAATATTCTGAAAATTATTCTTTAGATTCAAACTTCAAATACACTTTCCTAAAAACATTCAACAGGCACTAATTTCACACTAAGAAATCTTAAGGAACACATCCGGCCCAGGCCTTTACAGAAAACAAAGAAAAAGAACAAAGTTAATTGAGTTTTATGAACTCCTCCAAACATTAATGTTGGCCCAAGAAAGAGAATAGTTTTGAAGATTGACAAAAGAACTCAGATATGAACCAAGTCCATCACTGGCAGACATAGACACCGGCAGAGTCAAGGCACGTGAGGTGCACATGCAGGAGATAAGCGTATTCTGGTAGAATGAGATATCTCCTGATCGAAAAGATTACAAAAATAATAAGGAGAAGGACTCCTTATTCAGTAAGAACAGTATCTAAGATAAGGAAGGATTTAGGAGTTGAGTTTAACTAGAACTCTTCCACCAAGGAAGAGTAGCATTAGGATTCTAGTTAATTCTTTATCTACTAACTCCTATATATTGCAGAATGTTCTTATTGTACAGGTANTGTATAGTGACGCACAAAACCAGAAGTTAAGCAAGAATTGAGAGACAAACAGCGAGGCACTTTTGCAAGCAGTTCGAGTGATATTTGAGTGTGCGAATCTGACGCTACTTGAACCAGCTAGAAAAACCAGTTCCAACTGTTGTCTTTTAGTCTAGTTATTTATAGTAGGTGGTTTTAACTTGTACCTTTTTTAGCTTAATCTAGAAGCGTCTGTAATAGGTACTTTGTATTTTCAAGTTAGAGTTAACTTGAAGTTTGTCGCAAATAGCTAGAGGCTAGTTTGCTACAAAGGGTTAGAGGTAATCCTAGGTTTATAAAAGAGTATTTATAAATGCTGTTTTGGCTCACTGATTTAGTAAAGAGTTTTGGAAAAATCCTACTGGGAAGTAGGTCATGTTTTTTTCACCTTTTGAGCCAAGTGTTTTTCACGTAAAAATCTCTGTGTTATTTATTTTCTGTACTTATTATTCCGCAACAGTAGTAATTGGAACACATAGAAGAACTAGGTCCTTCTATAATCTGTGCACGCGAAAAATTAGACACCACACAAATCACCCCCCTCTTGTGTGGTATTGACGTATAAAACATCAATTGGTAACAGAGCAGGCTATCCTTGAATAGGCTAACAACTTAGGAGAAGATCAAGATGAGTGTACCACCTGAAAACTGGGAAGGGCAATCCAGGCCACCACTCGTCAATGGCCAGTACTACTCCTGGTGAAAAACTAGAATGAGAGACCACATCATAGGAGAAGACTATGAACTATGTGACATTATCACAGATGGTCCATTGGCTACCATGAAGATAAATGCCGAAGGAGAAGAGGTCCCAAAAATAAGAGCTGACTACACTGCTGACGACTTAAGGAAATGGGAGAAGAATGCTAAGGCCAATAAATGGCTTGTGTGTGTACTTGGTCCAGACGAGTATAACAGAATTCAAAGTTGTACTACTGCTAAGGAGATTTGGGACACCTTACAAGTGGCTCATGAAGGAACTGCTCAGGTGAAGAGGTCCAGAGATACTTTACTATATTCTCAATATGAGAATTTCTCTATGAAGGAAGGAGAGACTATCCAAGAGATGTATACAAGGTTCACCACATTGACTAATGAACTGAAGTCTCTTAGAAGGACTCTTCTTGAAGAAGACAAAGTTGAGAAGATTCTGACTAGGGTTCTACCAGTTTCTTGGGAAAGAAAAATCACTGCAATTCAGGAAACTAAGAACGTTGCAACTCTTAGGTTGGATGAGCTAATTGGAAATCTCACTGCTTATAAACTTAGAAGGCAGACCATGAAGATGGATGTGCCTAAGAAGAAAAGGAGTATGGCACTCAGAATCACTGAAGGTGCTGATCTGGAGGAAGATGAAATGGCTATGATCACCAAGGATTTCAAGAAATACCTTATGAGAAGAAAAGGTTCTTCAAGAGGTGGAAATTACAACAAAGCAAGGGTTCCTGAAAAAATGACCAATAAGGGCTGCTATACGTGTGGGAAGACTGATCTTCACATCAAGAACTGCCCTCAATGGGAAATTTATTGGAAGAAGGAAAGATCCGAACGAAGGAACAGGAAGAAGGAACAAGTTCATCCCAAGAAGAACAAAGGATCAACAAAGGTTATGGTTGCTGCTTGGGGAGAAAGTTCAGATGAGGAATCATATGATGAAGATGAAGATGAACAAGCACTTATGGAAATTGGAGAATCAGATGAGGAATCTGAGGTAAGTATAATTCATCTTAAAGACAAGATTAAGTTTTTGTCTAAAGAAAAACTCTCTGAATTATTGCGATTTCATTGATGAATCTGAGCTAATAAATAAAGAAAAACAACAACTGTCTAAGGATTGTGTGATTTTAAAAGTAAAGTGTAAGAACCTGGAGCTCAGAGTTAGTGAGACTGTGAGTGAAAATACTACTCTGAAGAACCAGGTTCATACATTTGAAGCAAATGTTCTTGAGTTAAAATCTGAAAATCTAAAACCGAAACTAGGAACCAGTAAGAAGACAATTGATTGCACACAACTAACTTTAGAAGAAAATTTAGGCAAACTGAAAGATGAGTTGTATAGGAAGAATGAGCAGGTAAGAGTGCTAAAGGAGGATCTAGGCAAGGTCAAGCATGAACTAGACAAAACTAGAAAATGGAACAGGTCCTCCGATGCTTTGTCATGGCTACTGGAACATCATAGTAGCAATAGAAGAGGATTTGGCTTTGGGAATCAGCTACCTAAGTGGGACCCTAAAAGCAAGTACCTCACTCTTTATGATAACAAGATTTGTACTCACTGTGGTAAGACTGGTCACTATAAAAGTGAATGTAACGCAAAAGAAAGGGCTAGTCAAAAGAACAAAATTTTGTTCAAGGGAAGAATTGGTTACCAAGTTGGGCTAAAAAGAATTTAATTCATCCTTTTGCTTATAGAAAGGGACCCAAACTAGTTTGGGTTCCTAAGACTAACCCCTGATTTCCTTTTGTAGGCTCAAGTGAAGGGGAGCAGCCAAATATGGTACATGAACAGTGGCTGCTCAAAGCATATGACAGGAAGCAAGGACCAGTTCCTTTCACTTGAGGACCTCAAAGGAGGAAATGTCTCCTTTGGAAATGGAAAGAAAGTTTAAATCATTGG